CATTAATATTAACAGATGAAATAAGAACTATGATTGTTTTCTAATTCCTCAAAAACCCACAGAATAAATTCAGCACCTATTCCTTGGGGGTGGGTAGGGGCTGGGGGGAAGGGATCCTTTAGCTAACCTAGAAGAAAAAGAAATTTCCTTAATTTCATAAGGGTCACCTCTATAACTAGAAACTCCAGCAGCCATCATATTATTTCCCATGACGGTAAAGAAATAAGGACGCCTACAATTGTTATTAGCTACTGAAGTAAGACAAGATAAAGAGAAAGCTGTCATTAAAAAGTAGAAAACAGGGGCGCCTGGGTGGCGCAGTCGGTTAAGCGTCCGGCTTCAGCCAGGTCATGATCTCACGGTCCGTGAGTTCGAGCCCCGAGTCGGGTTCTGGGCTGATGGCTCAGAGCCTGGAGCCTGTTTCCGATTCTGTGTCTCCCTCTCTCTCTGCCCCTCCCCCGTTCATGCTCTGTCTCTCTCTATCCCAAAAATAAATAAAAACGTTGAAAAAAAAAGAAAAAAAAAGTAGAAAACGTATTTGATAATATGATCAACTAGAAAACCCCAGTTAAATAACAAAATGTTTTGACTAATCGGATTCAGCAGAGTAGCTACAGATGAGAGCAGTAAACCAAAATTAACTGATTACTGAAGAACATACTTAAGGAAAATAGGAATTAAAAAACAAATTTATTAAGTTTTTCTAATGTAAGAATAAGCTTTAAAAAGTTTAAAACACCTATGTGAAAAACTAATTTTACTGGAAGATGTAAAAATTTTGAAAAAAATGGAGACACACACTATGTTCTGGATAGACTTCATACTTGTAAAACATTAAATCCTTCCCACGTTAATCCAGAAAATCAACCCAACACTGATCAAAATCCCAAGGGGACTTTTCTGGCACTTGATAAGGTAATTCTATGCAATTAAAAGAATATGTGCAAGATTTTTTTTAATTAAAAAGTAACAAATGGGCAATTGACCTATCACATACCATAATATAAACTTCCATGATTTTTCTCTTCCTGGTAACGAGTGATTAGTGTAATACTCCTGGATGTCACTTACTAAGACTCGGATCATTGCGGGAGGTAGAATGGGAAGTTTTAGCGGAAGGAAGGAGGAAGAGTTTTTTGGAGGCACATGACGTGTGAGGTGCCCATTCAACCTTCAACTAGAGATGTGCACAGACAGCTGGATGTGTGAATCTGAGCTTACAGGAGTCCGGGCTGCAGACAGACACTTGAAGCCATGGGGTGGAACATTTGCTAGACTTTTAGTTATCTTCTGGTGACATTACATAGTTTGGCTTTGCAAGTTTAGTTTCAGAAGTTCACTTATCCTGTCTGCATTTGTTTTCTGAGCAAACAGGTAGATGTATGCTTGGACCAATTTTTTTTTTTTTAATTTTTTTTTTTTTCAACGTTTATTTATTTTTGGGACAGAGAGAGACAGAGCATGAACGGGGGAGGGGCAGAGAGAGAGCGAGACACAGAATCGGAAACAGGCTCCAGGCTCTGAGCCATCAGCCCAGAGCCTGATGCGGGGCTCGAACTCCCGGACCGCGAGATCGTGACCTGGCTGAAGTCGGACGCTCAACCGACTGCGCCACCCAGGCGCCCCTGCTTGGACCAATTTCATACAAGATTAGATAAATTAATCTCTGTACTTCTTTTATTACTCCTGTACTAATACTACTTTCCTCATTATTTTAAAATGCATTTCTCTCATTTCCCTTTAAAATCAGTAAAAAAAAAAAAAAAATCCTCCACACTGTCAGGATGGCTTCTTCATTCTCCCTAAACATACTGCAGATACTACCTTGGCCTGAGTTTACAATGATTATGCCCCAAAGTGGCTTCACAACCACCCTGATCTCTACCCCATTCTGCAAGGGCTCGAGAGCTTTGTTTCAACTTAACCTCTCTCTCATCTCTAACACATACTTGTACGGTCTTAATCATATGCTCTCTTGCATTTTCAACATTTCGAATCTATTTCTCAAACTATGCAAACCCACTGAGCTATTTGAGGAAGTTTCCACTCAAGAACACCAAAATAATGCAGTGTTCCTCCTGTGTTTACTTTGCTTCCTACCCCAACACCACACAATCCAAACCGAAAATGCAAAGGAGTCGGCTGTAGCCAAATCTAAATGAACAGGACTCCACTGCCAACCTAGAATACCAAGCCAGTGATAACGTGAAAGACAGAAATGCGGCCCAGCTGTGAAGAGAAAGAGCCAAGGCACAAAAGACAATGACACTCCACCGGGACTAATGAGACAGCCACTCTGCAGGTCACCCAAGTCCTATCCAAGGCCGCGTACCCTGCCCTATCAGGCCACCAGCTGCAGGATTTAGGTGTACTCCCCAGGAAGGGGCAGCCGGGCCTGGGGGGAAACCTGTACCTCATCTTCCACTCAGTCTCATAATTGTCCTCACTTAGCATGAAGTAGAAAATTGGTTTACAGTAACCCACCTGTGACCCCAAGCAACTGGGGCAGAGTACACATGCAAACACACATGCACACGCATGCACACGAGCACACACCCTCCAGACAACATAGCCAAGCATGCCGTACAAAACCGTATGTATACTGTGAAACAATCTGAGTTAGGAAACTAGGATCGTTGCCACCGCCATTTATTTGTCTAGTTCATGACTAAGTATGGAACACTATAGTAGTGCTAGAAATGCAAAGAGGTCCCTGCCCTTAAGGGGCTTACAATCTTAGGGAAATAGAACAGGCACATAGAGAGACTGTAAGAAAGCACATGCTAACAAACGCCACGAGAATTCAGAAGGCAGCATAGTTCAAGAACACGGGATTAGGAATCACAAAACCCAGTTCTAGTCCCAACCTGGTAAAAAAGTCAGTTCACTTCTCTGGGTTTACTGGCCCAGCTACAAAACGAAGCAGTGAGATTTAGAGGCTGCACGCATTTGTTTGCATCATAATTCCAATCAGAAGCTGAGCAAAGTTTTATGGAAGAGGCGGTACCTGAGCTGGACACTGAAGGAAGACAGAGAAGGCATTTCAGACAAGGAAAGGGGTACTGAGGTACTGAGGTAGGCC